TCCTGCTCAGGCAGTGACTAGCAATTTGACAGAATAAATAGCTCAGGAGCAACCCTAAGTAGCTCAGATTTGAGCACCAGTGACTGCCTCTAGGGCTGTACTCAGGTTGTCCCAAGGAAGTTTGAGCATGATGATATGTACTGTGATCTGCTCTGAGCTGCATGGACATCTCCTAGGTGTTTACAAATCAATACAATCTGGAATGATACTAATGTTTCAAACAGGCTGATATGTGAGAGTAATCATAGAATTAGATTAAACATTGTGAGGTAGTAATGCAACTTCAAGAGCCAGGATTCAAATATGGAGTCAGATAATAAAGTGTAGCTGAACTGCATAGAACAGTGGTTCTCAACTTTTTTACCCAGCAGGCCAGCTGGGCAGTGCCCAGTCCAACCTTGGGCCAGATCCCATCTGTGATTCCAATCCACTGCTCAGGGCCCCATCCAGCCATGCAGAGCAGAGCAGGAGAGGCAACCCGGCCCTAGCCTGGGCCTGCAAGGGGGGTAGGGGGCTTCACCCAGCCCTGTGGGTGGGGGAGGGGGAAGGTGGCATGACTCAGCCCCATTGGGGGAGGGGGTGTGGTTCAGCCTCATTCTGGTCCTTGGGGGAAGAGGACTTGACCCAGCTCTGCAGGGGAAAAGGGGATATGGCCTAGCTCCAATCTGGCCCCATGGGGGTAAAGAGGGCAAGGCCCAGCCCTATGAGGGGAAGGGAATATGACCTGTTTCCAACTGGGCTTGGGGTTTGGGAATTTGGCAGGAGGGATAGTGGCCGCATTAATGGCTATTTATGCCTGCTGCTAAATTTCCCAATTCATGGGGAGCCCCGTGAGCCAAGGCTCTATGGGCTACATTTGGCCTGTGGCCTGTAGGTCAGGCACCCCGGCACAGAACACAGATCATATACTTTTCTGAACCTGGTGCAACCCCCATTTCAGACCAGCTGCTGAAAACACAACCATTTCTTTGGTCCAGATGTCTTATTTTGCCATTCCTCTCCTGTAGGCCCAGAGGAATGGAGAGAGAGATTGAAAGAATCCTTTGTTTTTTGTTTGTTTGTTTTGTTTGGTTTGGTTGGTTTTTTGTTTTTGTTTTTTTACCAACAGTGGAGTTCTCATTTGCTAGACAATTAAAATGGGGCAACTCAGAGCTGGAGAATCTGGCTCACAGAATTTAACAGCAACATTTTTAATAAACTATGATCTGTGAATATCTATGTCTAATAAACAGTGAGTTTCCTAAATCCCTTATTTAACTTTTTGACACCAAGAGTTAGTATTTCCCAGTGGGTTACACACACACACACACACAATCCTCCCAACTCCAAGAGGTTAACACTTTATGAGGAGCTTGATATTCTACTTAATTTTCTCAGGAAGACGAAATACCATTCCAGAGGGAAAATGCAGCATTATAAACTTCTCTCCATTGCACCACTGATTTTCCCAACTGATATATTTCCCTGCATCTTTTATACAATAGTTCTTAACAATTAAGAATATGCCAAAATCAAAATTACAAATATTTTACCTGTACAAATGTGGTTAGAAAAGGCCACAATACTATAAATACATTGTTTTTAAAGCATTTATCACCTGTAGAAATCAACAACAGTATGTAGGTTATTTTCTGGCATATGTACTTTAAGCAGATGTAATTTATCTAATCATAGAGGCAGTAGCTCTGTATTATAGGTATAGTGATTCTCATGTTCAGCAAATAAATCAATAAGTTATTAAGGCAGAGTGAATAATTAACACTTAATAATGTTTAAATAAATTAACTTTTTCTATTTGTGAATTGTTTGTATACCAATTATAACATTCTCAGGTTTTTCATTATTTAAAATGATATGGGAATGTGTTTTGATATTCACAAGTTATGACTAGTGGATTTTGGCAGTTCCCAGTTTGAAATCTGTGCTTCATTGTTTAGATACGTAAAGGGGGGTATTTCATATTGCTTTTATATTGCTTTATACCCTAAATAGAATTTCTAGTGTGAGCTATGAAATTCCCAGTTTAGTGCACAATTTTGAATTCTGCTTCCAGTGAATATTTAACTTAACTATTCGCTTTTTACAAATATTCACATTTGAAGGCCTGTATGAAGTTAACATGAAAGTATTGCAAGGAAAGTAAGATAAGCTTTAAATGAGTTCTTTCCAGCACAATCATTCACTTATAGTTGCAAGAATACTGCCAGTTCCTACTCTCCTGAGGCCAAAATGTGGCTTAGCTACCATGGTAGAGCAGAGATTTAAGGGGACATAAGGTGTCCACAGATATATTTAAAAACTATTATTCTACTGTATTACGCATTTTAATACTTTATATTACAAGGCAAGTTTAAGAATATTTATTTTAAGTTGGGGATAGATTTGCTCATATATATTTAACATCTTTATTTCTGGCTACTAGCTGTGGACGTTGACGTGATTGGATATGACTGGAAGGAGAGCTGGGTTTAACATTCAGTGGGTTCAGCTCTGCAGTGCAGAAAGCCAGCAGAAGGTTTAGGTACCATATAAGTCCTACATCAGGCTTTCTTAAGTAAGACTTCAAGGTCACACAGGGACACAGGCCTTTCTTATGTCTGTAGTCCCATGGAAACATTTCTTCTGAAACATTTGTCATATAGCTATTTTACTTTTTTTATTTACTGAATAAAAAGGACAAGTTTTAAATTATTGGAACTCAAGAAAATTTCATTTCCTCTTTAGATTCCAGGTGTTTTTAACTCACCATTCAGAGCATCACCTGATTCCATGGAACTACGGTTGCAGAAAGCAAAGCCCTTGAGCCACAAACACCAGCAAATAAAGGAAAATCTTACTCAAGAGACTTCTGATTTTCCAACTTATACAAGTTCCTGGACCTTCCCTACGGTGCAGCCTCTTCCACCCATTGCCAGACAGAAACCTCAGGTAATGTGCATCAATAATTCTTAGACAACTAACTCTGTTGATAACATTCGTGTTATTAATAATATTGGTTCAGCCATTCAGGACATGTTCTCTTTCAAAGAAATATGTTTTCATTTTGAAGAAAGAAAGAAAATATTTTATTAAAGTTAAGGAGATGCAGATACACTATGCTGCATTTGAAAAAATAGGAAGATTTTAAAATTCCAAGAAGATATGACAACACTTAACACACATTACATGCTATATCTCCAGTTACAGATTTAACAATTATTATACAATTATAAATGTTTAAAAAAAATCAGAGAGGATACAAAATGTAGCCAATTGACAATGAAACATTTAGACTGTGTACAGACATTTAGGGAGATTAGGGGAAGATTAGATTGTGTTAAAAACAGCCACCTGATCTAACTTAGTTCACCCAGGTACAGACCTTACACTGGTTAGGTGGATCTACATATGAACGGTGCAGAAGTTCAGGACAGTTAGATTGGTCTAAAAATGGCCAACCTGATCTAAGTTAAGTGTACCTCTGAGGTAGTCTATCTTAGCTTGGGTCCAGTAAGACCAACTTTACTGAACTTCTGTACAGTTCCCAGTATAGGCCTGGGGCTGAGATAGTCTAGCTGCTGGCCTCAGCCCCAGAGCTGCACTCTTGCTACCTCTGACCTGGCACTGAGCTATTTTTAGCCACCTGGCCTTTCCCCCTATCTCCAGACAGACACCACCCCCAGCCCATCAAACCCACCATTCCATAAGCCACTTAGAATGCCAGTTTTATCAGCTTTCTCCAATGCTGGTAGCTGAGGAAATAAGTCCCAGTCAGGGAAGGGGCAGGAGGGATGGGGTTGTCTGAGGGTAGGGGTATTGGGGGGCTAAAAATAGCCCCTGGTCCCAGGAGGTAGGGGAGAGAGCACCCCATTTCTCCAAGACCTCCGTAGACTCCATGAGCCTCCCATATTGTGCCAAACCCCCCGAACCCCAGCAAACCCCTCTGCAGATCCTGCCTGCCCCCAGATCCCCCCTGTGGACTCTGCCTGCCCCCCCAATTCCCCTGTGGACCCCACTTGCCCCTGATCCCCCTGCAGACTCCCAATCCTCCCAGAGCCTATTAGCCTCCTTTACCACCCCCCACCCTCTCCCACTAGTCCCCCCCATCCTGACTTAGCTTAGATCAGGTAGCTATTTTACATGCGATCTAACCTCCTCCTAACCTCCCTGAATGTCTGTACACAGCCTTAAAGACACCCAGGTTGTTCAAACTAGACAACAAAAACAGTCTTTAATCCATTTCATTTAAGTTTTCATTCAAAGACCAGGAAGTACCTCTGTCAACATAAACATCTTCTGCATCTACTAGACATATGTCAGTTTTAATTACAAAAGATACTATCTATTTTATTTTTCATGACTCATGGTCTCAATTTGAATTTTAGTTGATGTCAACATATGCTCCTTTCATTTTTATTTATTTTTGCTATAAAGTAATGGCAACACTATTGTTACCACCATCAACCTCTGCTTGGAGTATAGCTAATCAACAAAGTTAGCAGGCTAAAAATATAAAAAATAATATCTTATTTGTATTTCTGGTTATTTTATTTTCATTTTGATGTGGTACTTATCTTTGTTCACCTCAGAGGCCAAAGGTACTGTGACACACCTTCAATGAGATATAACTATATGCCTCTAAGGATAGAAGTGGTAATCTTTTGCCTGATATAACCTATTACAAATGGAATTTCTGAATGTTTTGAAATAAAGGGGAAATTACAGTATTTTTGTTGCTAGTTTATTCTTGCAAAAAATATCTTGGTGTTATTCCATGGGTGGATCTTACAAGTCTGTGTTCTAGTTTGGAACATTTTATAAACCTTTCTAAATTTAAACATCCACACAAAGCAATGATATACAGATAGCCTTTCAGAACAAACCAGAAGAGTTCTGTTTATTTCCAGTACCTCAAAGTGGGAATTTACTATATAATACTTTAATCCTTTCAGCGCCCTGGGATGTACACTGTGGGGTAAATTTTCAAAGCACGCTGCGTGGATTTAGCTGCGCGACTCTTATTGATGTTAATGGGAGTCACACGGCTAAATCCCTGCACAGCACTTTGACAATTTAGGGTTGTGTGTCAAAGGAAAGGACATTGGTCTGAGCTGATGAAACAGCTGGATATGAAAGCCATACTGAATGCACAGGTTTAAAAGTTGTCTCATATGACAATAAGGAATCTAATTACTAGCCAGCCTTGTGTCTTAGTTCTCTATGTTAACACTTTTTGACCCTGTGCTTCTTTAATACATTAAGCCCTATGTTAGTCACTTGTGGTACTTAACTGCCCATCTAGATATCAGAAATTTGCTTTGCTTTCATGGATGATGCTAAAATAAGAATGGAATTTGTGCATTTAAGAAAACAAAATGTAATTATCTAACAGTTTTCTCCTAGGGAAACTGGTATTTGGTGCTTTATAGGTAAAATACTGTGTATGTAAGATAGTGTATATAAAGAAAAAGCTTTAATGATGCTGATATATCAGTTATATCAAATCTATCACTTTTATTACTGAATTAACTAGAATTACAGTCCAATGAAAGCACAGATAATACTGAAATTAGTCATCTCTTCATTAAAGGGTATTAATAACAGCAAGCACATTGCATTTTTTTTAGTTTCTTTTTCCCCTTTCTGGTAGCTATTACTGGAGTGGAGGACGGGCAATGAGGAAGTAGCATATGATTTCATTCAGATCATAATTTTCACTGTAGTTACCATGAGTTTCTGGTTTTATGATACAGTAATAGGAAAGTAACTCTACTGAATCTGTTGATCTGCCAACCCTTGACACATCATCTGGCAGACAACTCACTATCAAGATTTATCCTACTTGCTACCAGTGCTACAAAAGCAAACTGAATATTTTTTTGCTGGGGAAAGATTTTTTTCTCATATTCTGTTTTGTTTATGTAGGCAAGGAAGAAAAGTTGACTCTCTCTTGTATGCTGTCCTTGTGTTCCCAGGGAAGAGGCTACCTCTTCTGAAACAGGGCTCCTGTGATACTTACAAGCACTGCCAGGGCAGAGGTGTTTGTAAGGATCACTGTCCCAGCACACATCAACCTTGCTTTTTAGCTTGTAAAATGCAAGTAGGTGAGTGGATTAGTTAAGGGTTGTTATCTAGCTAGCTATCATAGACATTTCTAAGGTGCTTATCCCCATGGTAAGCTTCTTCCAAATACATGATTCAGAGAAAGGGGAGAATCTGCAGGGAAGGATTATAACAATCTTAATACTTTTAAATGATACCCCACTTTCATTTATAACAACAGAGTCCATATATGACAGACCTTTTCATAGTATCCTTTTTATTTGCTTCTGTTGGTAGTGACTTCTCTATAAACATCATTTAGGGAAATTTGAGAAAAGGGTTGAATATTTTAGCCTTCTGGTTAAAACCTTATCTAGTGTACTAGTAGTGAGAAATTCATGATAAAAAAAGAAATGTTATATCCACACAACGAGAAAAAAATACTATGTCCATGTATTATCCATTATAGGATATGTATCTATGTTTCTTATAGTTTATTTTTTAGTTACATAACAACATAGTTCAGGCAACTGGACACTTTTTTTTTTTCCTTCAGTCATAAAGCCATTTACTGCAAACATTTGCTATTATATGAGTGTTAATATATTTTTTAGAACTAATGTATATATTTTTCCTATAAATGTCTCTAATTAAATGTATGTTGTAGACCAACAAATGTTACTACTTTGAGGAAATTCCTCATGTATATATTATTCCCAAGCACCCTAATAACTTTTTTATTTCATTCCCTTTTAAAAAAAGAAAATGTATGTTGATTCCAGTAAAATACATTTATTTTTTGTGTAAACTTTCTGGAATTAAGTAGCACCTTTCAAAAAACATAATGATTATGTTATTTGCTTTCTTACAGTCTTTAAAAGGAACCTGAGAATCATGGAGCTGTGCCTTTAAAAAATAAAGTTCCAATAAAAATCTATTAACTTCTTTCAAATATAGCAATCCTCCTGTCCAGCTGTGAAAAGTACTAGATGATACTTATTTGCCATTTGTGTTATTTACGGTCCATGACTTTTATGGTAACTGGTTCCTATTATTGGTTTCTATTAATGTAAAACATAAGTGAACATAAATGAGGCGTGAATCATTTCTTTTTATTAGCCCCACAGTCTTCACTCAGTGCTTGCAGTAACTCCAGCTGGGACTTGTTAGTGATAACCTCTTTAAAGAAGGAAATCTTTAAGAATAAGGTGCATGATTAGGATTCTTTGTCCATTCATATTTTCAGAAGGTTTCACTACTTCATTGCAGGATCAGCAATAGCAGAAAAAAAATAAGAGTTAATTAGCAACCACTAAAGCCAAGTTGTCACAAATTGTACTGAGCTTAATATGGTATTAATTACGCTTCAAGTGAGTTCATATTGGTTACTACTGAAAGCCAGGTATGGTGTAAGTCACTTTTATAGTGCAAAAAAGGACTTTTTGCTGCTATATATCTATATCATTAAGTGATAGATACTGACTTAATCAGTTATTAAACAATATAATTATAGTTCTTCAAGTAAAATATTTAAAAATGTCAGGAAACCATGAGTGCACAGAATATAATAGAACATGAAATCTGACTCTTCACAAAAAAGTTTTCAAGAAATAGCAAATTCACCTGCAGTATTTATGTTGTTTTCACTTATATTAGAAGCATTAGTTATAATCTAGTTCTGCATTCCTTTAAAAATGTATATACTGCTATAATAAGAAAGACATTTCATAAAGGAATACAATTTCTTAATATGAAAACTGAAAAGTTTAGGCTTTTCAGGTGTTTTCACACAACTGCGGTATATGTGTGATCAGATTATTTTACTACTATGTTTATGTGGAAAAAAAAACTCTAATCACCCCATCATTTCTAGAAGTGTGTATTTTTTTACTAAGCAACTTACATTAATATTGAAAGAAATATCCCCATATGCATTTCTCACTCTCTATCTACTGTTTTAGAACATGTAACCGTAGTGTTATCCATCATTTTCTATCAGAATGAGTTGCTTTCATTAATTGTTTTGGAAGGAAAACCTTGCCCGTTCTTTTCAACTACTACATATACTCTTTCATCAGTGATATGTCACAAATGAATAAAAAGAAAAGAGAAGAACTGTAACCCCATAATAAAACACTTACCTTTTCCTATACCTATCAGGGGCCCTTTCGTGATACTGCTGAAGTATTGCTGCAACGCTACAAGCCTTTGGAACCAACCTTGCGAGTGGCAACATCAATCAATTCACTAGAGAAGGCCAGAGAGGAAATGAAAAGAGAGGAATGGAGAAACCGCATACATGACAATGAGTAAGTTTTTTGTTTTTTCTTATGTAGTTATAAGAACATTTTCTTTATTCCACTGCTTCCAGAAACCTTTCATGCCTGACAAAATGAAATGTCAAATTTGACAGGTTACCAGCAAAAATTCTACATACATATTTCTAAATCTGTGTTCTTATTATTTTATAAACTGTTTGGGGCAGAGACCTGTCTTGTATGTGCCATTTGCTCTTGTGAAACTAAAAAAGGATCTGTAAAAAATATTAATTATAATAATGTAGGATGCAAAAGATAGGTTTAATGGAAACAAATTTAGCAAACAAATTAAGAAAAACCCTTTCTACCTGCCTGGGGATAGACACTATCACAGTGTTTGTGCTCATGATGCTTAAGGACTGGTGGCTCAGTTCAAAAAGGGATTTATATGCATTTCTCGTGTTTTAGACAAAATGTATGCACCTTTTTTCTGATGTGAGAGTCATCAAAGTGCTGTTCAGATGTTTAGGCTTATGTGAAGGCCTAGGTTCTTTAGCTTAGATCCATACATTCCAATGCATCAGAGAGAATGGTCTCATGGTTTGGAATATATAGGTATTGCACATGCTTGGATTGTCAATCTTTTGTTTAAAGCATGCATGCATACATGTAAGGTAAACTTAAGCCAGGTTGGAATTCAATAAGGAAACAAGGGCATGAATAATGTATCCAACTGACCCAGTTTCCTGGGCATGCTACATGACTAGTCAGTCATATTACATGGTGTCTCTCAAGAACTCGTGTTCCAACAATCTGATTGGTAACTAAGTACTCACCCCTAATGTAAACATGCTGTGCTCTCCTGGCTTTCACTTATGAGTTTTATGACAGTTTCCGATAGCCAGGTTGGGTGACAATTTGAAAGGAAACAAAGGCTGTTTTTTACTAAAGGCAAGTTTGTTTTAGCCATCTACGGGAACCGGTTTATTTCTGACACCTTCATGACACTTTGCAATTGGATTTGCAAAGATAAACATTATAGGATAGTGCATGTATCCTTCCATTTCCAACATAGGCATTTCCTCAGATCAATGTATGTAGCATTTTTTCTGGAAATTAAATGTATGTGGAAAGTATCCAAAGCTCATGTCTTCAAGGTTAATAAAGAGCCACTAAGCATTTCAGAAGTATTTGAAACTCCATTTGAATAGAGAACAGCATGCAATGGGCATGTCTACACGTGATGGTACATCGCTGCAGCAATGTGCTATGGTGACATAGTGTCCAGGGGTGTCCACACAGGACTAGCAGCTACTTGGCCAACAGGAAGTGCTAAAGCACAGTACAATAACAATGTTGCTATAGGGCAACATGTAGATGTACCCAAAGTGAAGCACCTATCATGAGTAATGATATGGGCATATTTCATATACAAAAATGCTTTATAGCCCCTAAGCGATATTCATTTATCATACTATTATATAATATAATATAATATTAATAATGTCACCTTATTCAACAGATGTGTTCCCTATGTATATTTAGAACCTGTTTTGTTTTGTTACTGTTTAGTGACAAAAATAACGTTAGTATTTCTTGAACTTTTTATTGTAGAAACTAGGTTGCTATTGATGATCATTAAAAATTGTTTCTTACTTAGATTCTTTCCCACTTTACACATCATCAACACAATTATTATGTATGCTTCCATTTATTTGTGTAATTATATTTTAACCAAAAATGAAGCTGTGCCAATACTGAGTTTTATACCAACATAGCAAGGTTAAATTGAACCGTTAGTAACACTTTGTCTGCTGCAGAGAGCTTGAGTTGAAAATAGCATAATTATATAGGTAGATCCAAGTTCCAGATTTTGCTTTGATAACATTTATTAATGTGCATGATTTGAAAGAAAGAAAGAGAGAGAGAGAGAGAGAGAGAGAAGCTTGCTTTTCAGATCGCAGTTTAAGTTTGCAGAGCTAGTAACTTGAAAAACATGACTTTTTCTATTAATCTTAGCTGATTAGATCTGGGAGACATTAGGAGACAATGATGGTATTTTACCTGGGGGTTTTTAAAAAAAATGAGTCAGTTTATGCATTAGGACTCTGCTTATAAAAAACTGGAACTCTTGGTTCCAAAATGATATCTTTTATTAGACCAACTGGAAAATGGCAAGAAAATTGTCCTTTTCTGCAAGCTTTCGGGATCAAAGTCCCTTCATCAGGCTCTGGGAAAACTGTAGATGGTACAAGATGGTAAAAAGTCCCCATAGGTAGAAAATAAACTTCATTTTTGGACAGAGGGAGCTGAAGATGGAAGTCTGTCCCTCTAGGTCCATGAAAGTGTCTTTCTGAGCTGTGTTGAGTATCTCTTTGATGTGTTGATCAGGTAGAATTCCTTCCCTGGAGGTGTCAGATGACAAGCAGGGAGGCAAAAAAACTTCCTTGTTGCTCTGCAATGAAGTTTAAAATCCAAAATTGGCTGAAATTCGGCATTTTCCATGTTTCAGGGGTGTACTTGGTAGCTGTGTTGGTCTGAGACAAAAAGACATACAAAAAACTAGAACTCTTGGTTCCAAAATGATACTTTTTATTAGATCTACTGGAAAATGGCAAGAAAATTGTCCTTTTCTGCAAGCTTTCGGGATCAAAGTCCCTTCATCAGGCTCTGGGAAAAGTGTAGTTTGTACAAGATGGTAAAAAGTCCCCATAAGTAGGAAATAAAATAGGTATCCTGTGCTTATACAACTGTGCTGGCCCCATCAGTATGAAAAGCTGCCCTGGAGAAAAGCACAGAGCAACTTGCCCTCAGGAGTTTCTGAAGCCCAGTCAGTTGGTATCTGGGGACACTAGCCCCTTGTGCCAGCTAGACTGCTAAAGCAGCCCTAACCTAGACTGGCCCCTGCACCCTCTACCCACTGCAGCAGCCTGGCAGCCTGGCTGTGACCTGCTGCCACCTGTGACAGCATCCACCCCCTTGGACCTGCAGCCCCATGGCTGCAGTTGCCAGTGGGTCATGGCCATACAGTTGGCCTTTGTGTGGCATTGCTGTCATGTCTTTCCGTGGCCTGGACTCTGCCATCTGGTGAGCTAATGCCCAGAAGATGTGCTTATTGTGGTGGCCCACTTTGAACTGTCATAGCTTGTCTTCCTGGCCCCAAATGGCCAGGAGGTCAGCCACCTCTTCTCCCTTCCAGCTGGATCCCTGGTGCTGGCTCTGGGAAGGCTCCTCTGCCTGGGTCCAGCCACTTGCCTCACCAGCAGGGATGCTAGCATTCCATTTTTAAAATTACAAATGCTCTGAGAAAACAAAACCCAAATTCTCTCATTAAAATACCCAAAATCCACATTCTTCCATGATTAAAATGAAATACCACTATATACAGAGAGAGAGACAGAAAGATCAGTTGGACAATGTTCTATTGATATAGTTAAAAATTTAAAGCAATTTGGAAGCCTACGAGTGCCTCTATTATCATAATAAAATAAATTCTAAACATCTGTACACGTTGGCATTTGCTTTTGTTTTTTTATCATAGAAAAATCAGAGCTGCCCCTGCCCCCCATAAGATGTGGGGACTGCTGCAGCTAGACCTGCAACTGTTTTGTGGCACTGAGCAACACTGATATGCCTGTGCCCAGCCCCTGCCCATGCCCTTGCCTCTGACTTCCAACCAACAGTTTTGCATCCTATTCTCATAGGGAAGCTAGCAGGCTGTGGAGTAGATACCTACACAGTCAGGTGGTGGCCAACTGGCTTAGGAACCAGAGAGTGGTTATGGATGGGTCATTCTTGGCTTGGAAGGAGGTGGGCAGTAGGGTCCCACAGTGTTCGGTCCTTGGACCAAACTTATTTAATATCTTCATCAGCAATTTGGATGAGGGTGTGGAGAGCACCCTCTCCAAGTTTACAGATGATACCAAGTTATAGGGCAAAGTTAACACACCAGAGGGCAGGGAGCAGATACAGGCCTGGACAGGTTGCATCAATGGGCGGAACGAAATAGGATGCAATTCAACAAAGATAAATGTAAGGTACTCCACCCAGGAAGGAGGACTCCCCAGCACACCTATAGGTTGGGGGATGACCTCCTCAGCAGCTCAGAGGCTGAGAGAGATCTTCGAGTCATAGTTGACTCCAAGATGAACATGAGCCAGCAGTGTAATGAGGCTATCAACGAGACCAATTGCACCTTGATGTGTATTAGCAGATGCATGACCAACAGATCAAGGGAGGTGATGCTCCCCCTCTAAGTGGCATTGGTCAGGCTGCAGTTGGAGTACTGTGTCCAGTTTTGGGCACTGCACTTTTAGAGGGACACGAAGAATCTGGAGAGGGTTCAGAGGAGGGCCATTCATATGATTAGTGGCCTCCATGAAAGACCCTATGAGGGGAGGTTGAGAGATCTGGATCTCTTCAGCCTTCACAAGAGATGTCTGAGGGGAGACCTTGTAGCCACCTATAAGTTTATCAAGGGAGGACAACAGGGAATTGGCGATGCACTATTTACCCCAGTGCCCCAGGGAGATACTAGGAATAATGGGTGCAAACTAGTGGAGAGTAGATTTAGGTTAGACATTAGGAAGACATTTTT